CTTACATATATGTGTGTAGAGTTTGATGCTCAAATTGATCTCATGTAGAAAAATAATTACAACAAACACTCTAGAATGTTATTTTTACAAAGATAAAAATTGACTGTATTTGATGATAACTGCTGCTTTTGCGCTAGAAAAAAAACACATCAGATTCGCTCAGTCTATAATCACTGCTGTGTTCTTCACAAATATGTTATTGGACAATAGATGGTGCAGGAAACTAGGATATCAATTTTAAAGATGAGCAGCAGGTTCCCAAAAGTCCTGCTGAGTGAGTCTGTGTGTGTCAGTGTGTGTAATACCTCATCACTATGTGCTTAACTATTGTGTTAAACCTTGTGTTTGAGCATCACAGCCTTTCAGTTTTTGTTTACTCCCTTTTTTTCCTCCTGTTTTATCCCTTTTTTAAAGGTCCGCTGGTTCTAAATGAAAAAGCCTATCTTGTGTCTGTTCAGTGAGTCAGATATGGAGCAGTAATACAGCTGTGTTTGATAGCAGGCACGCCCTGTTTCCTTCCCATGTCCCATTTCAAAAGCTGGGGCTCAGTGTGAATATAGGAAACAGGGCTAAACCCAGATCACTACTCCGGCAGTCAGCACTATTTTCAGAGCTGAGAGCTGTCCGACCACTCAGGAATCAAAGCCAACACGTCTACATAAGCTAAGCAGCAGCAGCACACACACCGCGCTCCCTCATACGAGTTAAAGCACTGAGACGTTTCACACAGTTAATCATCATCTGTCTGCACAGACAGTCTTTCTAAAGCACCGGCAGTATTTGGAGTGTAGCATTTCAGAGACAGCTTTAAGAGCTCTGTCCTCTTTACCCTGCTCCTTTCTTTCCTTCGCTCCTCATTGTCTGCATCAGTCAGCCCCTGTAGAGCAGCTGTCCACTCGCCTGTCCCATGTCAGCTCCCTTTCAGCACTTGGTAAATGATACTGATGATGACAGTGATGCACAGCCACAGTGCTAAGCGCCTTCTTTTTCGTGAGGTAGTTTTGTAATTGCACTGTGGTTTTGGAGATTTTGGAGATTCTTTTTTAAAAATCACTTTCAAACAGTTGTAATGCACTTGGATTTAAATTTTGTACAATATCTTCTTTTTTGCATCTTTTTGATTCTTTTTGAAGAAACTCAAAGTCAGAGTTGCCTGATGTGATGCAGGCAGTCTCCGTTTTATTTCTTTCCACACGTCTTCCCGCTGGGATGCGCTGCACAGTCTCTATCTGAAGAATCTTGTGCCACTGTGATGTGCAAATGATTTTTTTTTTTTTTAAGTGTCTGTTTTATTTGCTGCTGCAGCGAGCGTTCCAGCCAGTGAAACAGAGTCCGTGAACACCGAGAACCAAAACGGGGAAGATGAAAAGACGCCATGCTGCGGACCTCTGTGGTGAGAAGATACAGCACTATGCACGACAAACCTCTTCAAAAACAGTAGCACCGTTATTACATTAAATTACAGTACATCAGATCGCTGTCCCATGTGGTGTGACCGTTGCTACGGAGATTTAAAAAAAAAAAACATCTGTCTCTCACATCACAGGCTTCCAGCACAAACACTCATCAATACATTTTAGTGCTTCTTTCTGTACCTTTTGATTTGTAGTTAAAGAGAAGTGGTCAAATAATTACAGCAAACATCTTACTTACTTACTTCATCTTGCAATCCTACTAACAACTTTCCATTGTTCAACAAACACCCTGCATTGACAAATTCTTTTTTTCTTTTCAGTCAAAAAATTTCGAAGTCAAAGTTCAGGTCAGTATATTTGTAGGTCTGTGTCTCTGCATGCTGCATACAGCTGTTAGGATAAGTTTGTGCCTGCATTAGATTATACAGATTTTTATTTTTTATTAAGTGCTTGGCTTTCATTTTACTGTATTTTAATGAGACTTTTCTGGTGGCTGATAAATCAGCAGCTTTTATAAAGTCAGCATGTACCATATGGTATTTTTAGAGAGTAGCCTTACGCAGTATTTTTCAGCTCATTTACTGTACAGTATGACTTGCAAAAAATATATAGATGCAGATCCCTCATGGCCCTTAGTCCACTGCATTCTTATTATTAATGGAAACAAACCTTTTGTGATTTCTTTTAAAAAAAGTACTGAGGCGATGTATTAATTCTATTATTTGGACATTACAAGTTATGTGACCAGAGCCTGTGTTCCTCTGAATCACAAAGTGAGTCATAACAGTGTTGTAGTTTGTATTAATGTTGCTTTCCCTTCCTGCAGTCGGCGCTGGCGCCGCTGGAACAGGTTCTGCCGCAGGAAGTGCCGGTTGGCTGTCAAATCGGTGCCTTTCTATTGGCTGGTCATCATCCTGGTGTTCCTCAACACCCTCACCATATCATCAGAGCATTACAACCAGCCCCTGTGGCTGACACAAGTGCAGGGTATGAATAACACTGGGCTGCTCATGAAAGTCTTATTCCACAGTGGCCAAATGTGCATCCATTGTTACTATTATCACAGTTGACTTTTTATGTTTTTGTTAGTTTTAGCAATCCTTTAGTTAGGATTTTTTCATAAAGCTGAAACACAGATTTTCATCAGAGAAGCACAATTCATTTTTTTAAGGTTTTCTTAATTCTACACATTATGATGATCACATATTTTAACATTTCCAGTATTTTTGCATGAGCCACAATCAGATGAAGACTAAATTCCATTAAAGGAAAATATAACACTTTTCAATATGGGTGTACATAAATATAAAAAGGCACAGCTGAAATCTCTGTGCATCTTTATTGCACTGAGTTTAGACTCTGAGAACTGAATAAAAAGAATATTCTGTAAGACTTGGTTGTGTGATCTGTTTAGCATGCTATATCTGAATGTTTTACAAGCTCTGACAGTTCTATGCTGTCAAATAATTTAGATCTTTTCTAGCAAAACAGATGTCAACACTTTAAACCCCTGATCCCTCTCTCCATTTATTCGTGTGTTTTTTAATCTTCTGACTTTCAGATGTGGCCAACAAGGTGCTGTTAGCCCTGTTCACGTGTGAAATGTTGGTGAAGATGTACAGTCTGGGGCTACAGGCCTATTTTGTTTCACTGTTCAACCGCTTTGACTGCTTCGTGGTGTGTGGAGGAATCACTGAAACCATTCTGGTCGAGTTGGAAATCATGTCTCCCCTCGGTATCTCTGTGTTCCGCTGCGTCCGTCTGCTGAGGATCTTCAAGGTCACACGGTATGACCCGTATCTTGCTCTGTTTGTGTGTGTGTGTGTGCTTGTGCACAGTGTATGTGTGGTGTTCAGTTAATCACCTGTCTCTCCTCTCCTCTCTTGGTTGACCTTTCTTTGCAGGCACTGGCAGTCTCTGAGTAACCTGGTGGCGTCTCTGCTCAACTCCATGAAGTCCATTGCTTCCCTGCTGCTGCTGCTCTTCCTCTTCATCATCATCTTCTCCCTGCTGGGCATGCAGGTGTTTGGTGGAAAGTTCAACTTTGACGAAACCCAGACCAAGAGGAGTACCTTCGACAACTTTCCCCAAGCTCTTCTCACTGTGTTTCAGGTATTTACATCTTCAACTCCTGTTCAGATTATGATATATCTCTACAACACGGTCACTCCCATCTGGATAACACGCATGAGGTGGAAAATACACAGACTTAGAATGAATTATGGTATGAGGTGTGTTGAAGGCTAGAGAAGAGAAGAGAAGTAGAGCTAGACCAATAAATCAGTCTGATATATGGGCCGATATTAGCTGATGGCAGGCATATCGCCATCTGTGTGTGTTGCATGATAAGTTACAAGAAGCTGCAGCACAGAAATGCCAAACTACGTTTAAAGTAGTTTAGAAATTACATTGTCACCATTGCATAGTTTGACCACCAGAGAGCAGCGACGAGTTGATTTTTCAACCGTAAAAATATCCCACTTCATATCCCGGTCACAGTAATCCAGTATCAGTCAGACCATAAGCAATGGACGACTGCAATAGCGGTACCTTTATGTATTTGTAATGTTGTGTCAGGTATAGTATTTTATTTTGACCTTAGAAATGTTTTAGGACACTCAGTCACTCCACTATTCTCTGTATGGATGAAGTCTTCATGATTTTAACTTTGCTCAAATCGATGCACAGTATATATAAATGTTTATTATAGACACTCAGCAGGGATTTGTAAAATTAAGTGTTATGATCGATTTTAGATCCTGACCGGAGAAGACTGGAACGCTGTTATGTATGATGGGATCATGGCGTACGGAGGCCCTTCCTCCTCTGGGATGATTGTGTGCTTTTACTTCATCATCCTCTTCATCTGTGGAAACTGTATCCTCTCTCTCATCTACTTGTGATGCACTGTGCGGGAAGTATTCTGAGCAAGAATGTGGTTTTAATTTGTCGCTGGAGTAATTTTACTGGTATAAATGACATGGCTAATCTTGTTTCAGTCAGTGCTAACTAACTGTGTTGTTATACTCAGCGGTTTTAACAGGAGAGTTGTCCTTTACTGAACACTTTGCTCAGATATCCTGCTGAATGTCTTCTTGGCTATCGCTGTGGACAACTTGGCAGACGCAGAGTCTCTCAACACAGACGAAGGAGACAAGAAAGAGTGACTACTTGATCCCCTGCTTTGTCTTTGTGTGACAAATATAATTTTATATGTTAGCTTTAAATGCTCAGATATCTATCATTCATAAAAAAAAAATCTGTTTATTACAGGGACAAAAAGGATGATGAGAAAGACGAAAAGGTATTCTCAATTTCCTTCCAACACTGAATCATGAAGTGACTTATCTTCACAGTCTGAGATGTTAAGTACGCTGACACCGACTTCACACTGTCTGCTTGACTGTAAGGAGGAGGAGGAGGACAATGATGATACAGCAGCGGAGGAGGAGGATCCAGAAGTACCATCGGGGCCTCGGCCAGTCATCTCTGAGCTGGTAAAGAAGGAGAAGATCACTCCTATCCCAGAGGGAAGTGCCTTCTTCATCTTCAGCAGCACAAACCCGTAAGACACGCTGACATCACACACACACACACGCGCGTCACACCTGTATACAAACAGGTAGTGTCGCACACTGAGGTCAACCGCTGTGCTTTGTTTCCTTTGTCCTCCAGGTTTCGCGTGTTTTGCCACAAACTCATCAATCATCACATATTCACCAACCTCATCCTGGTGTTCATCATGCTCAGCTCCGTCTCTCTCGCTGCCGAGGATCCGATCCGAAACTTCTCGGCTCGCAATATTGTAAGTTTCCAGACCTTCCACAGAAATGCATCAAAGCTTCTAACAGACTGTGTAAAAGAAAGCAAAGAAAAGTGGGTGAAGTGACATTATTGATAAATCACTTTTCCGCTAATAATGCGAATTAAGCATTTGAAGTGCACTTTTTGTCATAAATCTTTGGTTCTTTAAATGACCACACTCACGGTTTTGCATGTTTTAGCCGATTTATTTTAACTTGCATACTTTACATTACTACTGACCAGTAATGTAAGTTTATTCATTGAATTCTTACCATCATGTCTGTGTTTTAACAGACAGATTTGATATGCAAGAGAAAGGCAACTACATCTGTTGCTGTTACATCTGTCTAAAAAGTTATACAGTACACGTCACAGTTAGCAAAACATTACACAAAGAAACATTCTGTAGGATGTCAACAGATAAAAAATAACATCAGGTCACTGGTATGAAAAAGACACATTTATCTTTTGCATTCATGTTTGTGAGTTTGAACTCTACCAATGTGCCCATAAATCAAAGGGTCGTTTTCTGTTGAGAGGCTAAAGCTGCAATTTTTGCTGCTGTGGTTCTACTTTACACCACAGAGAGGGCAAAAGAGAAAGAGTGAAATATAAAGAGAGAGAAAATATTTCTTTTCCATGTACACCATCTCGTCCTTGACAAAACATTCCACAAAGATTACTTGCAGTTATTTTTCCAGAACATACATTCAGTTTAATTGTCAGGACAAAGACTGTTCCTGTCAGGACACCCAGGACAAATAGTTAAAAATATGGTCTGTCTGTATATAAAGGTGACGTCTGGTCACCCTGTTCTTGCTGGTCTGTTTCTACATTCATGATTTAAGGGTTAGGTAGGCAACAGCAGCCTTTTAAATCTAAGAAACTACCAAATGCGCACTATCCCTTTGTCTCTTGGAACTGTTTTTCTAACAGTGTAGCTTATGAACTGCAATGCTTGTGACTCACACATCTGAGATGTCAGTGTGCCCTTAAATGCACCATAATGGAGAGTTTTTACAAATGGTGCCTGCATTAACTCACCGAGGATCCAACGCTTAAAAAAAAAATGAATATAATTAATTAATCACAGTGATGAATACCTACTTAATCTCCAGCTGTTCTGCAATGAGCTGAGATATGGAACTGTGCATTTCGGTTGGCAGTAATGTTAAGAACATGCTTTTTATATTCTATGAGCTAAAACAGGCAAAAACACCAGTACGGTCGTCTAAATAAACCCTGAGGCACTGATAGTTGTGTTTCATTTTCCGTGCATTGTAATGATTTTAAATGCATTGTGATCACTATGGTTACATTCACTCATGACCTACAGTATACTGCATAAGAAATGGCAAAAGAGTAGTGAATTAACTTTATGCAAATAATTAAAATTTACTGCGTGGTGTTTACTCTAACAATCCCTTTCCAGAAAATGCTACAAATGTTTTATTTTTTAATTTTTTTTTTTCATTCATTTTGTTTTTATATAATGTATGAAGCTGCACAATGAACTGTCTTTGTTAAACATCTACGTTGCTTTTTGCAGATACTTGGTTACTTTGACTATGCTTTCACGGCTATCTTTACTGTTGAGATCGTTTTGAAGGTAAATGCCCTGTGTCCCCTGTCCGTGCTGTGACTAACCACACCCCAGTAACACTCCAAACGTCTCGTTGCCTTCCAGGTCCTAGGCTATGCAGATTATGTCTTCACTAGTATGTTTACATTTGAGATCATATTGAAGGTAACCCCTTAAATGACAACGAGAGCCTTGCTGCATTCTCTCCTTGTGTGTCACCTGCCACTCAGTACAACCTGGCTTGTTTGTTTCCTTTCTCTTATTTACTTTTTTCTTCACGGCACCTCTTTTAAAAAGCAAAAAAAACAAAAAAAACAAACAAAAATAAAACAACTAATATTGGAGTTATTACTTTGCACACACTAACACAAACGCAAGATTTGTTCAAATTACACTAATCAAAGAACTCCTGTTGGGGGAAGGAAACATCACATCAACATTACATTATACTCACATGGGTGTCATGTCATTTGGGCAGTCATCGCTGAAATGATTTTCATGATGCAGATATGTAAAACATGATGCAACCCCTGGTGCAATGCAACAAAATTCAATGGGCTGTTCAGACATTTTTAAGGCATTGGCTGAAGTTGAGTTTGATGTCATCTTTGGAGGGGGGAGGACGGGTGCCGGGGATGGCATTCAAAGACGTAAAGTCAACTCCAGTCAAAGCTAACGCCATGCCTCTCGTACTGACTGCTCTTCAGATTACCCATAAAAGAGGGGGCAAAACCAACCATGTTCCTGCTGAGCATGGTTCAGTCTGCTTTCCCTGACTGAGTGCATAGAAATGTGGAGTTTATGTCTGCAGCTGCTTGGGCAAAAATCTGCCAAGACCACCGCTGTTTGACTCTTAATTCATGACTGCTCTTAGTTAGCACTCTCCTCTCTCCGTCACTCTGCAGGGCTCCACATTTACATGCACTTGGAAAATTAATCCTTGACTTTTATTATTTGAAGAAGAGTTATTTTGGCTGGTTTTTTCTTCTCTGCTTGCTGAACTCTGAAGTTTGAATTGGGAGCTGCTTCCCCTTATTCTGAACTATTAAAGAACATAATGGAATGTGCTTTAAGATGACGGTCCACATGAATGTGACAGTAAGGCCATTTCCACTTTCCAATCTCTATAACTAGAGCTCTTGCAGGTAGTAAATATCCCTGACTTCATGGCAACAAAATGCATGTTTTATTGCCTCATTCCATAGTAGATTGTGAAATGAATGACTTACTACTACATTCATGTAGTTAAGGGCCGTGGGGGTGGCGATGGTAGATTTAGCCTCCTGTTTCACTGCTCTGAGCTCGCCACCCCGAATCAGAGTGATCTACAAGAGTGTGGAGACGTGTGTGCGCGTGTGTGCATTTGACTGCAAGGTAGTGAGTGCTGAGAATATGTTTTTCCTATTAAAATGACTGTACTGTTTGTGTGTGTGTGTGTGTGTGTGTGTGTGTGTTTGTGTGTGTGTCTGTGTGTGTCTGTGTCCTCTGTATTTGTGTGTATGTGTGGTGTTTGTTGAATGAAATGTGTGTGTTTTTTTTTCTCATTTGCTCCTCTAACTTCCTCTGTCCTCTCCTCAGATGACGACGTACGGAGCTTTTCTCCATAAAGGCGCATTCTGCAGGAATTACTTCAACCTTCTTGACCTGTTGGTGGTGGGAGTTTCCCTTGTCTCCTTTGGCATTCAGTGAGTAAAAAACGCAGACGCATTTGAATCCTGACTGTTGTACACACAGCAAAGAGACAGCACACTTTTAGCCCTTTTCGACCAAATGGTTCCAGGAACTATGGAGCCAAAGAAACAAAACTCTGCAGTTCCTACTACAGTAGGAATTAAACATCCCTTTGGAGAAATCCTGTTCGTTTTCCTCGTTCCTCTAAAAAAAACCCTGAAGAAAAGGTAAACTTGTCTGATAAATGATTAAAAAACAAAAGATGCAATTTTCACACACAAGGAATCATCTATGCAGAGTTTTTGCTCTGCTCTGATGTTTGACTGGATGTAATGAACAGATTCAAGGAAGACATGCAGAGGTGGAAAAGGAGACTGAAAACGCTGCCTCCACCTAACAGTTGACTTGCTTTATTCTCCTAACTGCTGCTCTGTCATTCACATGTGCTTTTAAGACATTATACATGTTTGTTTTCTTTGTTCAGGTCCTCAGCCATCTCAGTGGTGAAGATTCTTAGGGTCCTTCGTGTTCTTCGGCCCCTGAGGGCCATCAACAGAGCCAAAGGCCTGAAGGTGCAGCCGCATCACAAAGTCGCTAACAACCACAGTCCTAGACTCTCCTGTTCACGAGGAATGCGACACTCTCTAAACATTTTTATGTCTCTGTCTTGCAGCACGTGGTGCAGTGTGTGTTTGTGGCCATCAGAACCATCGGTAACATCATGATCGTCACCACTCTGCTGCAGTTCATGTTTGCCTGTATAGGTGTGCAGCTATTTAAGGTCAGCAGCCCTGAGGTTGAATGAAATCTCTATTCAGCACATGACACAAGAGATATTGAGTCAATATTTTTAAAATATTCAGCATTCGAGGGAAAATGTTTCATTTTCCTCCACAGGGAAAATTCTATCGCTGCACCGATGAAGCCAAGTCCAGCCCAGAAGAGTGCAAGTTAGTTTAATTTGTCTGGTTCCTGCACAGAAAATATCTTACACTTACGTTCCTAGCCTGGGTCTTAACCTCCGTGCAACCTGTCATTTTCTCATAGGGGCACCTACATCCTGTATAAGGATGGAGATGTGAACCAGCCAACCATCCACAGACGACTGTGGCACAACAGTGAATTCAATTTTGACAACGTCCTCATGGCTATGATGGCTCTGTTCACTGTGTCCACGTTTGAAGGCTGGCCTTCGTAAGAATCAAATCTTTTTCCTCCGCATGTTTAAGCTTACAAATTATATATATATATATATATAGATATAGTTTTATTTGTGACACTCATTTCGTACTTAAAGTGCACTGAGAGAAATGAACAACACAGACAATATCTGTGTTTAACGAAATTGTTGCCCATGTGGCTGCGTCACATGCTCCCTCCTTGTCTCCATATCTTCTCAGGTTACTATACAAGGCCATCGACTCCAACAGGGAGAACCTCGGCCCCATTTACAACTACCGTGTGGAGATTTCCATCTTCTTCATCATCTACATCATCATCATTGCTTTTTTTATGATGAACATCTTTGTAGGTTTTGTGATCGTCACGTTTCAGGAACAAGGAGAGAAAGAGTACAAAAACTGTGAACTGGACAAGAACCAGGTCAGAGTCGTCAGCAGGTTTTGTGTGTGTGTGTGTGTGTGTGTGTGTGTGTGTGTGTGTGTGTGTGTATGTGTGTGTTAGGTCAAAAACTAAAGAGAACTTAAGGAGAGCTTAACATATACTGATATAATATGTGGAGCTCTGAGATTTGTTTTCTAGTTGGAAAATTTTAACTTATTCCTATCTCATGACTTTATAGTAATTTGTTAAGAAAAGGCTGTGGAATGAATTTCGTAGCAATAAGAAGTTAATTCAGTTTACAAACGGCCCATTTGACAATTGATGTTAGATTCAGACGAGAGTATCAAGTTTGTTCTTAACTCAACATTGAAACCAATTTTCTATATATCTGTGCAGCGTCAGTGTGTGGAGTACGCTCTTAAGGCGCGTCCGCTGAGGAGGTACATACCTAAGAACCCGTACCAGTACAAGTTCTGGTATGTGGTGAACTCCACTGGGTTTGAGTACATCATGTTTGTGCTCATCATGCTCAACACACTCTGCCTCGCTGTACAGGTAAGAAGTCAACTTACATCCCTGAAACCAACCAGTTCTGTCAACTCAGTCTCTGTTCAAAAGAATGGGATATCGCTTGACAACGACGACAGATCAGCAATAGCAGTAATATATAATAATTTGATTGACACATTGAAATGAAAATAATACATATATTCATAAAATTTTGTTTGCTTAGTTTATTAATATTTATGTAGTTTTAAAGCAAAAGTTGAGAAAAAGTTTTTTAGTTTACATTTCATAATACTGGGTGGACATTATAGGTGATACTGTATGGTCAATTATTACTACCTCTATAATGTTTTTAAAGTTCTGAATATGTAAAGGTAAATTGGTCGCTGTTTTTGATGCATTAGTCTCTCATAGTAATTTTGTTATCAGGGACTTAACGCCCACCTTTCTACCTGCCAAACTGCCATAATCACATTAGCATTTTGTGCTACCACTGTATGTAGAATTGAAAAATGTATAACTTGGTGCCCCCCAGTGGCCGCATCACAAATGACACGTTGGCAGGCAGCAACACAAGCATATAATTAGATGGCTGAAAATATACTTACAGAATGATTATGAAGAATGTTATAATTGCATAAAAATATATGTACATAGAAAGTATATATTAGCGTTTTTTTAATGCTTGTTCAAACATATTTACTTTTCCATCTTCCTGATTTTTATTATTTTCTGTTAACCACTCCTCTTTATCTCCTTCCTGCAGCACTATGGCCAATCAACGACATTTAACTATGTAATGGACATTCTCAATATGGTCTTCACTGCTGTCTTCACTGTGGAAATGGTTCTCAAACTCATCGCTTTCAAGCCCAGGGTGAGTAGCCGAGCAGATGTCTTCACACTCAGCTACTCCCACCAGATCACAAATGCACACTAACTCAAACAGAGACTGAAAAACAGCACATATTCTTTTTGTTACATACAGTAGTTTTATTTATTGATGGAATAGTTTGACATTTAGAGAAATATTCTTATTTGCGTTCATGCAGAGTTAAGTGAGAGGATCAATATCACTCTCATGTCTTTCCGTTACATTTGGAATTTTCACAGCATGCAGCCGGTTAGCTTAGCATAGCTTATAGAGCAAAAGTCACAGCATGTTAGTGCCAAAGGTGGATTTTGTTACCTAGCCAGGTTAGCTGTTTCCCCTCATTCCCCTCAGTCTTTATGCTAAGATAAGCTAACCGGCTCTTTGTTATCTTCATATTTAACTGACAGATATGAGAGGTATTGATCTTCTCATATAACTCTTAACAAGATCATAAAAGGGCGTATTCCCCAAAATGTCAAAACATTCCTTTAATACTTAATAAAGGAGCAGCATGTGTGAAGATGTGAAAACTCAAGATTCAGTGAATGTTTTTTTTTTTTCCGTTCTCACCTCGACTGTGCCGCTGAACAACAGCTCTTTGTTGCGAAGAAGGACAGGATGCTAGTAAGAGACAGAGTGTGGGCTGCAGTGTGGACTTGATACTGTTTGTCAGGTTCTTGGCAGCAGTGATTTTGCATGTAATATTAGTATTACCAACAATTTGGTGTGCCTTGAGTACTCAACAACAATCTGTTAGAAATCACTGCTCTATAATCATAAGACCTCCAGCTGAAGTAGCCAGCATGGGGGTTCATGTGTTTTAAATGACCAGCATAAGTGGATTTAAATTTCAGTGTGAGAGTAAGGACTTTTTGTTTTTCCTGATCTTACATCCAACTCGCTCCACCACACTCAGGGCTATTTTGGGGATGCCTGGAACGTGTTCGACGCCCTGGTTGTGATTGGGAGCATAGTAGACATTGTTCTCAGTGAGATCGATGTAAGTAAGCTCAGCTACAACTGGCCTTGCTGCTCACTGACCTCTCTCTTCTTTGGCCTAGGTTTCAATGGCAGGTCTCCTATTTCTGATTGATATCTGATTTCTCTTAACACTTTGTCTCCTTTTGTCTCTCTTTGTGTCCTCCCCCGACCCTGCCATTCCATTAAAACCTCGGCCGCATTCATCCTCTTCCTCTTATTTTCTTCTCTTCCGTGATCACATGTTTCCCGCTCTTTCTCTTCATGGTCTCTCTCTTTCATTTCCATCTTTACCCTTGCGTGTTGTGTTGTGCATCAACAGCACTATTTCGCTGATGCTTGGAACACATTTGATGCCTTAATTGTTGTTGGTAGCGTCGTCGATATTGCTATCACTGAAGTTAATGTAAGTATAACTTTTTTCTGCCTTCCAAGTTGAACTGAAGCTTTACACGAAAGCCACGTGGCAATCAACAGTATTATTTGTTAACATTTTTGTCCTTTAGTACAGTGGTTCCCTATCTTTTTGGATTGAGGACCCTTAAAATGAAGCAGTGTCTGTGAGTTGTGAGCAGATCGAGGAGGAATGACTATTTTTCTCGCTCATTTTATTTTTTATTCAAAGGAGCCCTTAAAGGAGCTATTTGTAAGTTTTGCTATTGCTACATAGCTAAAGTCAACATTAACAGCTGTTTACCTACCAGTCTTGGCAAGAGCTTCAGCCATCAGTTTGTTTACAAGACGAGAGGTTGTAATACACACTCTGAGCAGCGGTACTTCATCAGGGCGGATTGGAGGCTGCAGTGATTGGACCAACCGGGCCAGAGATAGCTTGTTATCACGCTAACTTCAGTAGAAGAAAAGAAGTGATAGAAATAGAAGCAAAAAAAACAAGCTTTCCACTGAGACTTAACAGCTGTTAATACAAACAGTGGCTATGTAGCAATAGCAAAAACTTGTGAAAGCATGTTGTAGTTTATAAACACAAATGGGAAATTAAAAAGAAAAACTCAGAAACAGATAACCATAATTTTGTGTAGCCAAAATCTTTTTTCTGTTTTTTTCTTTAATCATCCGGTGACCCATGAACCCTTCTTGGGAACCACTTCTCTAGTGTGTTCAATTGTAGCCTACACTTTAAAATACTATGTGCTACTATACAGAGCATGCTAAAAGTTAGCATTGTTATTTGTGGATAGGCATTCATAGTTGTTAAAGTGTCACTGGCCTTTTCTGTAAAGCTTCAGTTTGACTTTCATTTATGTCTCGTTGTTATTTGGTGCTATATCTTCACCGAACAAATCTGAAAGTCTGTCTTGGTGGGACTTTGCTTCAGCTAAATGTTTTATTGTCAGTGTGTTTTGCAGAACTGTTTGTTACAGGAATCATGACAAAATGTCTGACGTTAACCCCTTGGACATGGCAGTGAAAATGCGTGTCTCACACTTCTGAGGAGTGCATTTGGTTCAGAGCAGGATGATTTGTGATGTGGTTTTCTAATTCTTACTTTTGTTCATTTTGTTTCCATAGAAACTTGTAGAGGCAAGTATGGCAATGAACGAAAATGTTGTTTTGTGTGTAACCTGTTGTTTATAACAACTTTATCTTCGGGACCCCTTTACAGTGCGATGGATTAAAAACTAAATTAGTCATCTAATGTTTTATGGGCATTATTGGGCAAAAGTAGATATTTCTAATTTTGCAATATAGTAAAATATAGATTTCATGATAATTCAAAACTTATTTCAGTGTTGATTAAAGTTGCTTTCAAAATTCATGTCAAGGCTCGATAAAATAGTGGATGACTACTTCTCTACTTTTACTAACTACAAAAATGCTCCTCTCTTTATAGCTTGGCTTTGCACAAAAACACCTCAAAATGAAATATGTGCTCTGTTGTGTTGTGCTTTGAGATTAACTGGAACAAAAATGGCAAAGTGTCAGATACAAACAAACACCAGGAGTGCTGAGAGACCAAATTTCAAGTTTCTAGGGAATAGTTAGTGATGATGGTGCTTGTTATAGGTGCAGTGTACCAAAGACTCACAGCTCGGCCGGCCCCTCCTTCCCCCTCCTGAGTGCTCCCGTGTCTGAGCTGCAGTGCTGTTTTGCTGGAGTTATATTTCATGTTTTCAGTGTTTTTCTCAGTTCCAAATTGTGTGCCTGCATGAGTGTATAAACAAGCACTAACTTTGTTTAAAACAGTGGTGGTGTGTTTAGGTTATTCATTGTTATGCATGTGTGTTTAACGTGTGTATAGTATGTACTTTAAGGTGCTATAAGTGTGTGTGTGTGTGTGTGTGTGTGTATATAGGTGTTTGTTTTGTGAATGTTGGGGACATGATGCTGATTTCACAAGGGCTTTCATAGTGGTTCTTGTGAGGCACCTTTCGTTTACATACCATTTACATCTGTTTGTGAATTGCATTGCATGTGGTTGTTTGTGTCCTACAGCAAACTAGATCAGATATTATGTTGTTCCATATAATCATATATAATGTCTGATCTACATTGCTTTTTAATTATGTGATTTTTGCTGCTTGCTCGCTGTTATCCATCCCAGTAATGAGTTGTGTGGTTGTTTAGTTTCTCACCTGGCCACTGTGACCTCTCCAAATGCATGCTGGGAAGCATCCACCATTCACCTTATCCCCTAACGTCCTTTCCATGTCCGCCTCTCACAGATGGCGCTTGGCCACCCACTCCATTCCCCTCCGGTCAGTTGTTTCCATAGAGCCTTGTGAAGTTTGACCTCTCTCTCTTGCCATACCCCTTGACCCTTCCCTCCAGACAGAATGGCCCTGGAGCTCAGAGCTTGGAAATGTCCATCCTACACAACATTAAGGACTCTTTTAATATAGAATATGCAGAGCTCAATCTCTCTGTGAAATCTAAATAAAAGCTGAGTTTTTTTTTATCACTAACTTTCCTTAAAGTTGTGTAGGCCACTGTGGCTTTACATGCAGCTGATGTTGTGCATCAAAACTGAGGAAAACAGATCAGTTCATGTAGCGTCCTGGATATAAATCAAAGCCTTTTCTGCTACAGAATTAAAACTTCGATTAAGCGTCAGCTACAGTCCTAAAGTTCAGGAAAAGTCTTAAGCATCCTTTCACCATACAGTTATCAGGTAAGATTCTGTGACCAAGAATATCATCAGCAGATCCTAAAGACCTGAAAGTAGTCCTGATTTTTGCACATAACACTAGTGGTGGTTTGGAGTTTGAGGTTCTTTGATGATCTTGTGTTTGTGTCTCTGTGAGTGATTGTCTCTGTGTTTTGTTCTGTCTTCCTGTAGTGAGCTCTTAAAGCTCAGAATGGAGCTCTGTGTAGCGCAGGTGTGTAGACTCCAGTCAGGTGCATGAACACTACAGTAACTCTACTCTCTCCTTCTTTACGCCTCTCTGCCTGTCCTCTCTCTTCCCAGTTCAGTATGACTCAGTCTCCCTGGTTTTCTTTCCTGTCTCAGTATTGGTCTCTGTCTGTGGTTTTCTCCTCCCTCTCTCGTCTTTCTCTCCTCTCTTTCTGTCGTTCATTCACCTCTTTCTGCACCAGACTGTGAGAGCGCCCTGCTATGGCAGTGTTGTTGCAGGGCACTACTGACATGCATGAGTTGCTGCATTGCTATGAATTCACCCGTGGCTCCTCATCATCCAAATGTCTTGCGTGTGCGTGCAGTGCTTCCCCGGCAACGTGGCAATGCCGAACGCATGCTCCATCAACGCTGTGGCCAGGATTACCTAAAGAACCTCCTCAAGCTAATTCTACATTTTATAATTTCTGCTCATTCTGCACCTCATACTGACAGTTTGTGAAGTATCATGATGAGGGATTTGAGTGAAGCCATATCTGTCTGGAGTATCTCTTTGTTTTCGGTGCTGAGCCTTCTGATATTACTCTTTTAAGTGTTGAGTTCAAAAGCTCTTCCTTTTGCCGTAAAAATCACATTTATCATTATACAGTCTAACCGTCACCACTATGATTGATGTTTCTATTTTGCACCTCTGGACTTTCTCTGTGTACAAATGCTCGCTGAAGACTGCTGATATAATTTCCTTTTAATGACTTGAATTGCAAATAAAACCTGTATGGGTGTGGATATGTGTGAGCGACTGATGAAATTGAGAGATGAAATTATTTGATTATGTTTATATCTCTTTTTTATTTTATTTTTTTATCAGCAAGCATTTTTGTTTCTGTCACTTAAAACTGTTGATTTCAAAATAGTTGGTTTAACTGGTTGAATTATAACCCAGAGGAGAGTGGGCGTCTTACATGTGCTCCACTCCTTTGATGGACGCCATTAATGATGCATTATGCACACAATGTATGATTTTCCTCCAGTCAAGTCATTTGTTGATGTGTATTTGCCTGAATCCGAAGCCTGTATGATGAGTTACAGCAAGAGTCGAGGCTCTGTAAGAATAGCAGACGGTGCTTTAATCATGACATGAATTCATAACATTTGTTATATCAGTCAGTTAACTTCTCATTAACATTGTCTGAGGCCCGTCCAAAGACATCTCAACCATAAAATCCATTGAATCCCATCAGTAACGACCATTACACCGGGGGAGTGATAAAGTTGTCTGCCAGTCTTACGTGTTGCTACTACGTGTATTTAAGTAATTCCATGTTGTTCGTCAGTCTGACATGCACTTGTTCAGTCCTACATAGGAGTGTTTAGCTGTAAACCTGTTGTGTGGCGGTCTTTTAAAGTGTTAAGATAATGTTTTATGTCTGTCATTATATTAAGTGTAAATAGACAGTGATACATGTACAATAGGTTGTCAATAAATGTCTGTCTTTGTCATAGTTAAACAACAAGACAGTTTTGTCCCGTCAATGAGAAGAGTAGTGAGTTCGTTCTGTCTGCGTCTTGACTGACGTGTGCCGGCGTTGTGTGATAAAGACTTTTCAAATGTAATGTTTACGTGTTTGGCCCAATGTGTGTGAGACCTGCGGGCTCTGTACAAGTCATTAATACAGGTCTTTGATTTTAAAGCCAACGGAGACTCCTCAGGTGGATGAGATGGGGGTAAGATGCTCCGCTCCCCCCTTGCCCCCTTCCCCCCTACCCTGTCAGGGCCATGCCATGTTTAGATTTGCATTTCTTTGTTTGGTATTTTTCTGTTGTCTTCTACGCATCCTATGATCTATTGCTTATTTCTGTTTTGTTTACATTCTCATGATAAAGTTTTCCATTCTCTGTATTTTTCTGGGTTTTTTTCTCTTTTTTTTTTGTTTTATTCATTTGCATATATTCTCAAAAAAATAGATTTTGATTTTCCTAAATGTTTGGAGTTATTTTTAAGGAGAGTGTGTCACTCAAACGTGACGCTGTGTGTCCTGTTAGGTGGGAGCGGTTTTGGGCCGCTCCTCACGTTTGTACTGTTGACACTGCTACATGGTCTCTGCCACCATCCTTGTGTGGGGTAGTGACCCATGGATGACCCCTGGGATCAGGTCACCCAGCTCTGACCTGTGAACCTCCTGGCCGACCCGTTTGGGTTGGTCCCACTGTGACTCCGCATGCAGTGACTCTGGACTGAGGGTGCCATGCTTGTGCAGATGTGTCCTGTCAAGTATGGCAAGGTTTTCTCCAGCATGCTTGCCTCCTTGCTTCCTCCCCTGTAGGTCTGTACAGTGACAGGGCTCCTGACAGTGCTTTGGATGCGGACTAACAGAAACATATCAGCTGCAGCTGCACTGCTTGACAGACTCAGTTTAATTCATATTAATCTCAGTTTCTATTAGATTTGGACCCAACGTGCAAAGTTACAGCTTTATAAAGTATGTGCTGGACCATGAACATGTGTTATATGCTGCCACCAGAAAACCTATTCAATTCGAGACTATGTTCACTTTTCTCTTTTGATGACATAAAGATGCAGTGCTGCTCTCTCAGCCCATATGTATCTGGTGCTGCGGTCTCAGTTCAGAACTGATCATCTCATAAAGCACAGCCAGGTTCTCTGTGATCACTGCATCCATTATTGGTCTGCTCTCCTCTGACTCCGGACTGTCTCCACAGAACACAGAGGACAGCGCTCGCATCTCCATCACCTTCTTCCGTCTGTTTCGAGTCATGCGGCTGGTCAAGCTCCTGAGCAGAGGGGAGGGCATTCGCACCCTGCTTTGGACTTTCATCAAATCCTTCCAGGTGAAGTGAAATACAATATGTCAGTGACTGAAGGAATAATTAAAGCCACTTCTATTAACCTTTATCTACTTTCTATCCTCTCTTTTCCCTGAAGGCTCTGCCATATGTTGCTCTTCTGATAGCCATGCTGTTCTTCATCTACGCTGTCATTGGCATGCAGGTTGGTAACTAAATGTGACAGAAAATATTTTTCTACTGTGTTATCCAAGTTTACAATTTTGCAGTTGTACTCATGTGGATGATATTTTTTAACTCCAGGTGTTTGGAAAGATTGCAATGGTGGACGGCACACACATCAACAGAAACAACAACTTCCAGACCTTCCCTCAGGCCGTGCTGCTTCTGTTCAGGTGTGTAAGGATGCCGGCTCAGAGGTCACGTACTGATGTTAGTGTTTAGTTTAATGGCTCTCTATTGTTGAGTGATTTATTGGTTTCTGTCGTGCCTGATTATTCCCAAGGTGTGCCACTGGAGAGGCGTGGCAGGAGATCATGTTGGCCTGTATGCCCGGGAAACTGTGTGACCCAGAGTCGGACTACAACCCCGGGGAGGAGATGACGTGTGGCAGTGGATTTGCAATAGTTTACTTCATCACCTTCTACATGCTCTGCGCCTTCTTGGTACACAATAATTCAATTCATTATAATAGTTTTTTCTTATTTACTCTGCTTAGTATTGCATTCTGTGCTTTTCTCAAAGCATTTTTAAGATGTAGAATTCATGTCAGACTGAGTACTGTCTAACTAAACCTGACTTCCTCACCATGTTTGTTTGTTGGGGTACACGGCAGAATGTTTTTGCATTTGGACAAAATTATTATTATTATTATATTAATGCCACATTAATATACTTATACTTAATTATTGTGATTTAGTTGAAATGATTAAGTACAGTAAGGCAATTTAGATTATTTTGAGCTGGATGGCTTGCAAAAAATTTGAAACACACTGATACGATACATACTTATACATACATACAATGTATATCAGGCATTTTCTTGTCCCTCTCCAGATTATTAATTTGTTTGTGGCCGTCATCATGGATAACTTTGACTATCTGACACGTGATTGGTCCATTCTTGGTCCTCACCACCTTGATGAATTCAAGAGAATTTGGTCAGAGTACGACCCAGAGGCCAAGTATGTGCTTTATTACCTGCAGTATCTGGGAATATTTCACATTCATGATCCTGCACAGTTATGTGTCAGTTAACATCTCACCTGTGTTATTTTCTCTCACGCAGAGGCAGAATTAAGCATCTGGATGTTGTAACCCTTCTTCGTCGTATTCAGCCGCCTCTCGGCTTTGGCAAACTGTGCCCTCACAGAGTGGCTTGCAAGGTCTCTTCTCCTCTCGTCTTCTATTATCTCATTAACTAAGGTCACACAGACAAACTGATCATTTATCTGGCCTGTGCTATCATATTAAATGCCTCTATTCGCTCTCTTCTCTCAGAGGCTGGTAGCCATGAACATGCCTCTGAACAGTGACGGCACAGTCATGTTTAATGCCACTCTGTTTGCACTGGTGCGAACGGCCCTGAAGATCAAAACAGAAGGTATGAACTGAACATAAATTACATCACACTGTATTTCTACCTAAAAATTGCATAAAATACTAAGCTGATGCCTTTTCTGAGCCTATTGTTCTCTGTTACTTGTAATTATGGAGCTGTGTGGATTTAAAATGGCTGTGAACTGGAGTGCTGGTTTCTCAGGGACATTTGTTTCCCTGTGGTGCAGGTAATCTAGAGCAGGCCAATGAAGAGCTGCGAGCTGTCATCAAGAAAATCTGGAAAAGAACCAGCATGAAGCTGCTGGATCAAGTGGTGCCTCCTGCTGGTGGTTAGTGGAATTGACCTGTGTCTGTCAATGAAATCTCATATACACCTCCTCATCCTTCTGTTATAGTTTGACACACAAACCAAGCTAAAGATGCCTGCATAGAGTCACACAGCGACACACACACACACACACACACACACACACACACACACACACTATATGTTTCCCACATGTTGTTTGCATAAAATTACAGGAAGCTCCTTCATAACTATATCCTTAAATAGCCACTCACCCACACACACATACTCTCACACAAGTAAAGCTGTATCGTGCTGTTTCTGCTCTGCTCACGTTCTCCTGGTTGCCCCCTCAGCAGTGTGTTTCTTATCCATGTGTGTTTGATCCACACTCCTCCCTCCTGCCCTGGATGCTGATGGAGGCTACTGACTGTCTGCTGGGCTTTGGGCTTGCATGGCCTTTGTAGACCACTGTGCAAGTGCATGTTCTGTCTTTCTCACTAATATCTCTCTCTCTCTCTTTCCTTCTTTATCTGTCTTCTCTCCTTCACTGACGCTGTCTGTTGTCTTAATCTCTGTCCTTTTCTCATTGCTTGAGCTTCCACAGCTTATTCTCCTCACACTTTTTTATATCTCTGTGTCCAAAACTCTGAAACACTTCAGAATATTCTGAAGCAGTTCTGTTTTAGGGTGGTGGCATGGAACTAGTGTTGCCTCTCTCTCCGATTTCTGTCCCCAGCGTGCTTGTTCAAAGTGATTCAGACCCCTGCTTCAGAATGATTCTCACGCACTCTTGCACACACTCTTAAAAAAATACTTATCATGGGACAAAATGCACATGCACAAACATGCTCATATGCAGTTTCAAGTATAGCATTAACTGACTAGCACACATAATATAAGAAAAAGGCATACATGATACAAACAGGTAAATTTACGCAAACATACTGACATGTATGATGCATAGATTTGCTTGCTTGCATGTGCTAAGGCAGTAAAGTAAATGTCATTCTTGGTCGTAAAGACCAGCTCCTTGCCTCGCAACAAAAAGCATCTAAAAAACATTTGATCATAAAGGTAATTCAGTAGTATTTGTTCAAGATAAATATTACCAAAAGGTTGAGTCACTTTATCTTGCAGCATGTATGTCAATGCGCGGATTAGGTTTTTAATTTGTACTGTAGTTAGATCTTAATTCTGCTCGCTTTGTCCTTTTTTATCAGGAGCACAACACTGAGGAAGAATAGACAAAAAATTGAAAGCAGTTTCATTACCCACCGGGTCATATTACTTTAAATTTTAAAAGCAAAGATGTAATTTAGAAGATTTCAATTGGATCCTAAGTAGAAATACACACACATACACACATACACACACACACACACACACACACACACACACACACACACACACACAAATTGAAGACATTACAGCATACATTTGATTTTCTGCTCTTTCTGGAATACAGTGAAGGATCTCAGGTCGTGCAAATTGAGGTACAGTATATACACCATCAAGATGGATGTATATAATCTGGATTAAAGTGATTTGGTTGATTGGGGTTGCCTCTGCCTCGCTTGTCTGCAGTCCTGAGGTGATGAACCCAGAATTTGAAGGAGTATGGACGAGGGAGGAGAAGAGTTTCTCCTTCTCTCTCCCACTTTACTGTGTGTAGTGACCTGCTGACACAGGAGGCATTTGTGTGGTCTGTTCACTCAGATGATGAGGTAACCGTGGGGAAGTTCTATGCCACCTTCCTGATACAGGACTACTTTAGGAAATTCAAGAAACGTAAAGAGGAAGGCCTGGTGGGTGCTCACCCCTCCCAGAACAACACAGCCATTGCTTTACAGGTGAGTCTAACGGAGTTCGCGTGTGTCTCTGAGAGTGTGTCGGTGTGTCACTTAAGAGAGAGGGGAGAGAGATTGTTGAACACTGTGTGAAAACATGGATTTACGAGCACCGTAATGTTGTTAAGTCAAGTCTGTATAATACGTGTCTTTGTACATTCCATTCAAATAGCATCACGTGTGCTAATGTTATGGTTTATGATCCAGCAGGACGTTCATGATCTTGGTGTACAGTATGAATCTGTAACTGTGATTTATATGTTCCCGGTGTGTGACCTTGTTATTTGTGTCTCTGTGTCTTCTATCATATACGTTGATGTTAAGCGTGTGTCATCATCTCCAGCCATCATTTCATGTGTTTTCTGTGCATCACAACTCACTCAGCGACTCATGAAATTCACATGCAAAGCTTGTTGCCATTTCTGTTACCTTATAATGTATGATATATGGCCTCAATGTGTCACCATATATCATTGTCAGACAGTAAACATGACCAGCTTTTAGGTTATTTATAATAAAATCTTTGTGAATATTCTGCTAATTTAGTTATGTAAACCCGCAAAGGAGAGAAGGAAGAAAAGTTTTTTTTTTTTTTTTTACTGCACTCACTGAGGCATATTTGAGAGTAAGGACAGCTGGATGCTACACAAGACATTTCAGCTAAATAATATTCACAGCAGGTTGCATTCAAGAGAGCACATTTGTCTGTCTTGTGTGTTCTCATCTCACACAGTCTGTCAGTACTGTAAATGTCAGGTGTTGCATACTCCAGCACAGGTGTGTGTATGCCCAGTATGTGTGATGGTTGTGACTGTATGATGCCAGTTTTCATACTGTGAGTTGTAAGATGAAGGTCCCAGCTGTAGTGCTTAGCCCTCTCATTGTCATGGTTACAGGCTGGCCTTCGCACGCTGCATGATATTGGGCCCGAAATTCGCCGAGCGATATCATGTGATCTGCAAGATGACGAACTAGTAGACTTTATTCCAGAGGAAGACGAGGAAATTTATAGGGTAAACTATTTTAATTTTACCTGACAGGAGGAATGTTTGTGGCAAAATTCACATATTGTGCTTGTAATGAAGTTCTCAATTGATGCTTTTCTCTCTATAAAAGGGAATGTACTCAGAGAAACAGTATTCAGCTAAATCTGAAGTAGATGCACTGTCTCTAATCTATATTGTTACAATAAGTGGCTTATGTTTCATGTGGTTTATTTTGGCTTCCTAAGTTTTTCCTCCATTTCAATTCCAACAAACTACAAAGAGTGCATTCATTTTGCTCACATATGTCATATGCCATAAAACCAGCTTCTGAACTTATTTTTGCTCATACAATTTCTGAAAAGAAAATCAGCTCGCAGACTTAACATCAATAGCACATTTGTTCTGCTGTACTATAAGAAGTAGAGGCCCTGGTGGTTTTACTTTGAGCGTTCCTCCACAGCGTAATGGCGGACTCTTCGGTAACCATCTCATGAACGGCGGTCATCGGCGATCCAACGGCCACCAGACCAACGCCACACAGCGACCTCTGCAGGTGCAGCCCCCTCCTCACTACGCCCACATGGAGCAGCCGGTGGGACGCCTGTCTCGAGCCAACGCAATGTCCCACCCCAACCACCATCATCACCACCACCACCATCACCACCGCCACCACAACTCCTATGGCAAGTCTCCCAAATCCACCAACATCAACCTCAACAATGCCAACGTGTCCAGTCTGCCCAACGGAGGACACCATCGCTACTATGAGCACGCACCTCCCAATGGCTACCCAGGTCTACGCAGCTCCTACTACGACTATGACAAGCCGCGGACCCCCCAGGGTCAAAGGTATCCACACACCGATCATCAGCCTTTGATCTGCTGTAGAAGTGGTTGTGGCCATTTTGTTTGGTGGTGTTTTCTTGCCAAATGTTGAAATTACATGTGAACTAAACATGTAAAATCACATCACGGCGAGATATTTTCAACACTGATTTTTGCAGCAGAACTTTCCAACTGTAACGTCTTTCATACACAGAGAAATCAATTGTAGAACAGGCGGAGATATCAGAAGAAGATTGATAGCACTCTTACATCTGTCCACTCAATATTCAACCAGGAGATTAGCTTAGCATTAAGACTGGAAGCAGGGGGAAACAGCTAGCCTGGATATGTACAAAGATAACAAAGTCTGCCTGAAGCACCTCCAAAGCCAGCAGTATATCTTGTTGTTTTTGAGGTACTGAGACAGGCTAGCTGTTTCTCCTATTTCCAGTCTTTGTGCTAAGCTAAGCTAACTGTCTGCTGCAGACATGAGAGTGGTACCATCCTCTTAGTGTATTTCCCCAAAATCTCGAAAGATTTAAGATTTCATTCTGTGACAGATTTTGTTCCATTTTTTTGGAGAAATATTTGGAAAAATTCTAATGATTACATTGAATTAATGTCTATCCCTAGTTGCAAGTGTTTTCCTAATAAGTCAGGCTTTTCAAAACTAGGCAAATTAGAAAATAGTTCATACTTAATACGTTTATACGTAGAGTATCACATTGATAATGTTTTGACAGCAAGTGTATGTGTTTCAAACCATTTAGATGTGGATTATGGATTCCCCCCTCAAGTGCAAGGCTCAAAAATAAATTGGTAAACAAAAAACAATTGCACAAGTTGTAAAGTTCCTCTTGCTCCACTGTTCGCCTGAGAGGCTTTCTCAGTCTTTTCATGCAGCTATCTCAGGTTGTATGTCAGCACATAACTGAGAGCTGAGGAAATTAAAAGAGAAAACAATGGGATTAGTTTTTATGCGCTGAGTGTTTGCTGCAACCACAAGTCGTGAGGACATTATCAGTTGCATAAGTGTTTCCTCCCAGCCTCTTATCAAACCTTCCCGTTTCACAAACCTTTATTGTAAACCCTTCATTCCATAATGGATCACTCTCATACTGACAGTTAACTTCATGAGTGACCAATAGTACACTTATCTCCTGATTTCCCATGCTCTGTTTAGTCTGCCGCTCCAGTATTGGGCTTGTTTTTCTTTACTACCCACATAAGTTTGGGAGACAATTTCATTGCTGCCACTTTACAAAAGAGAAATGATTTTTAGTTTGTTTCTTATCTTAAGAGTAGAAAATGGAATTGTCAACCATCACTGGAGTCGACGTCACGCTCTCTCCTCCTCATACATATATATGAGAATGCTGTATATGTTTCATATACTGTATGATATATATGTCACGCTCTCTCCTCCATTTTCTCTGTGTTCTCTCCTTCTCCCTTTCTCCTTCCTAACCAAAATGCTTTCTCTTGACCATCCCTCTGCTTTCTTGGACAGAAGGCGCTACTATGAGACGTATGTTAGGTATGTTGTTTTTCTAGGTTTGGCTCCAGCAGTATGTCACAACTGCAAAAGAAGGACTTTGTTTTTTTAAGTTTATTTGTTTTATTTTGACTTGGTTTTGGATCGATGAATGGTTGCATCCTTGCTAAGTCAGTGTTATGAGCTATATGCTGGCCACTCATTTGTCTGGTTATTGCCTTGTGTCAATGCTTTAAAGTGAAAGGAGAGCTAGCATAAATGTGAGTGGCCAGCATATTGCTGAGAGCAGCCCTGCTATATGCATGTGTCAAAGTGACGTGCTTGCTTTGAAGAAGGACCCAGAAGCTCGAAAAGAAAGAAGTGTATGAGAATGTTTTGAAAAATCGTTCAACTAGTCACCGCTAGTTCTGTTTTATGCTCCTATTGCACAGTCCTACACCCGATTCACTTCAAGAGTCTTAACCAGAGAGAGATCTGTGTTTTGACTGACCCGATAAAGGACGTTAAGGTGTGATGTTTAGATGACAGCGTGATGCTCTTCAGCCTAAAACTTCTGCCTGTTGTCTTGGTTTAATAAGGGTGGTCAGTTGCATCGCATCCCCCTGGAGGCTTGCGTCTGCATGGCAGTGCATGGCCCTATTCCAGTGACCCCATCCCCTTCTCCGAATAGCCACAGCGTGCATGCTCTGACCCCTGTGCCCTGACTTTTCCTCAGGTCCCATGGAGGGGATGGACGCCACCCCACCATCCGCAGGGAGGAGGAGTTTGATGAAGACCGCTACTCTGGGGAGTATTACAGTGGGGAGGAGTTTTACGAAGATGACAGTATGCTGTCAGGGGACAGGTATTAGTCTTTCTGATTGCCTGTGTAAATTCTCTTTTATCTGCCTTGTTCATTAAATTTAATCAGAAGAGTTTTGGGATAGTGCGTGTCAGTCCATGTCTCCCAACAAGCCCTTTATTCGATATTTTGACAGGTATCAGAACAGTGACACGGAGTATGAGACTCCCAAAGGTTACCATCACCCTGACAGTTACTATGACGATGATGAGCAGCCTCTCTACCGCGACTCGCGCAGGTCACCAAAGAGACGGCTGCTTCCTGCCACACCTCAAGGTATTTCCTTATGTACCTGCAGCATGAGTTACATGTTTGCCTTGATCTGTTCATGTGTAATATAACAATGGTTAAATAAAGTATCAATTTCAAATAATGTGAAAGAAAAAAAACAAAACATTTTTGATGCAAAATGAGAAACACTGTCCTGCCTGTTCTTGTGTTGCGGCTTCGTTGCTTATTGTACATCATTCTTGTGCTATTTATTCAATTATCCTATCATTGAAAAACTATAGGCTCTAGGTTAGTTATAAAGCAACTGTGTTACATATGCAACCTTGGGAGAAAAGTGTTTTTGTTTGCTAAATACACACCAGCTGTTTTCACTGTATGATTTATCCACTCACCCAGTTTCATATTCCTGAGCGTTTGCAATGTTGAAGCTTTGCATGCTGTTAAGTTTCCTGCACCACGTTACTCACTGGTCCACTGCTTGCTTGTTCAGGTCACAGGAGGCCATCCTTCAACTTTGAGTGTCTTCGCAGACAAAGTAGCCAGGACGAGCTTCCACATCAGCGTACTGCTCTACCACTGCACCTTATGCAGCACCAGGTAACACAGGTTGGTCTTGTTTGGACTGACCTACGTTATTATTTGACTGATTCCACCAGAGCTGTCTCAAACTTTAAGTTGAAATGAACTGATCGCATTTCTTCAATAACTAAATATCACAGACATCTGTTGAATAAAGGTGACTACTGTTGTGAAACAGCAGGAAGCTGAACTGCTTACATGCTCCTAGAGTAGTAGCACAATTTGACAATACTCCCAACGTCCTCTGATGCAGCTCTGTATAACGCTTGTATTCCTGGCTCTCTCCTTCCCTGTCAGGTAATGGCTGTAGCAGGCCTGGACTCCAGCAGAGCCCATCGCCTCTCCCCGACCCGCTCCACCCGCTCCTGGGCAACTCCCCCTGCCACCCCGGCCAGTAAAGACCAGTCACCATACTACACCCCTCTCATCCGTGTGGACCAGCAACACAGGGGGAGTACTGCTAGCAGCCATGTGTCTGTGCGCAAGAGCTCCTGGTACACAGATGACCCCGAGTACTCTCAGAGGACGTACTCACCTGTCCACCTGCAGGTGCCACCTGAGTTCCATAACCAGTACCACCAGAAGAGAGGCAGCGCAACCAGCCTAGTGGAAGCGGTGAGTTTGAGGCTATTTGGTGACAAAGGGAAGGGAGAGGTATCCCTGACCAGATCATTTGATGTATCCAGCTGTCAAAACAAAATTTTGAAAGCAAGGAAAGCGAAACGAGAGTCTGAAATTCACATATTACATAACATATTTTTTCTTTATATACTGTCGAGCAGGTTTTGATATCAGAGGGGCTTGGGAGATACGCCAAGGATCCCAAGTTTGTCGCTGCAACAAAGCATGAGATAGCAGATGCATGTGAGATGACGATAGACGAAATGGAGAGTGCCGCCAGCCACCTACTGAACGGAGGGATGGCCCCGGGCGTCAACGGGGTCAACGTGTTTCCCCTTCTGACTCCAAGGGACTATGAACTGCAGGACACCGCAGCCAGCTACAGCGACGAGGAGCCAGAGACAGAACCCAGAGCTCCTTATGAGGAGGACCTGGCAGATGAGATGATCTGCATCACAACTTTATAGCACTGGCTGGAGAAATCTGCAAATTAGAACCAGTGTCAGACTACAACCAGTGAAAATAAAAAAGAAATGCATCTGTTGGCTCCGACCAAAAGAAGTGCCTTTTACATTGAAGAGAAAAGGCATACAGAAGAGAGACACATTAGTCCCGTTCATTTAATTGTTCTCCACCTGCCAGCAAACAGAGGTCACAGCACAGAGCCACATACCATCCCGGCTGTGCACAGAGGGACTGACTGGACCCTCCTGTCAAAGGCCTTGACCTGGAGGTGACACACAGGTTCAGCCTGCAGCCAATCAGAGACGAGGACAGTGATGCCAGTGAAAGATGGACCAATTGGCAAAGGTGTGAGATACTCTAAACGGCGGGTCTTTAAGGGTGATGACAATCAGATGTACGATGTCATTACCTCAGTCACTTTATTAAGGTTCGGCATATCATGCAAGTTTTCAATGCAAGCATAGGAAGGCATATCTCCTCCCTTAGTCGTTAGAATAACTTGATCCCTTTGTTGTTAGAACAGATCGTTTAATGATTGCTACAGCTGAGTCAAAAAGTGAAGAGCACCAGTAGAGTTGTACCAGATTATGCAGGAACTAACTGTCCTACTTATAGCATCATTCAACTTGAGATATGTACTTTTGAAGCGACAAAAGCATTTGTGATAAATGCACTAGCAGGCAGGTTATTTTAAATTTTAGAATAGCCTGATTAATATTTCATAGTTGATATGCTGTAAATTGTATTATATAACAAAAGAAACTTTGTAAAGAGATATTCTATATTTTGTAATTATGTATCATTTAAAAGATCAGCAATATGGACCCTTGTGACTCCTGTTATGCTATAAAAGCAGACTTGCATTATTTTATTAAGTACAATATTCTGATATTTGTTTGCCTTTTATTTCTTTGCTAATATGCACCCTTTATTTTGCCTATGAAACAGCATTTTTAAGAGGTTCTGCTTGTGTGATAACACTACTGCACAGGATATGCAAATGGCTTTGATTTCTCAGCATAGGAGTACATGTGTTACTTCATCAAACCAACACCAGTTGCATAAGGTTAAGCCCCCTTTAAAGGAGCATTTTTAGAAGGCAAGCCTCAAGGATCCAGTGCCGAAATTTTATACAGATGTGATGAACACATTTGTTTGCATATTTTGTGCAGGGCATGCACAAGAATTTAAAATGCATAGTGCATTAACAATGCTGCTTTTTTAGTTGGTTTCAGAGTCAAACCTAGGTTCCGTCAGCCCCTACTGAAATGCCTTTTTGCTGCTGAAAGAACGAAAAATGATAGATGGTAATAACAGGGATAAATTAATATTTCTCATAGCTCATGCTGGGATTTTCCATGATATACACTACTCTTTGTTGATCATGGTGTGATTCCATTAAACCTTTGTACTGAATCTTCGCAGTCACATCTTAGTCTTCATGTCGTGTGCGAGGGCTCGGAGCCTGTGGTGGCAGGAGACAAATGCACACATCCAAAGGTCAGAAACAGACGATGCAGACATTCGTTGTAAGTGGAAGGACAGAGTGTGTCCTGGTGTCAGGATGCTGGAGAGAGGCTAAGCAATACTAAACCCCCCGCCCCTTTTCTCTCTCAGCCTGCCTGGTTCCTGCATACAGTATACCTCGTTAGGCACCGGTGACAACATATCATTGTCTCAACTTATCTGTCCGTCACAGCGTCCCACAGTGGAGTCTCACAGAGATTAAGTAGAGTTGAACCTGGACTTTGTGTTTTGTTTTTTTTTCCTCTAATCATGTTTATTAATGAGACCAGAAGGGTAAACTCGCCCTTCTGGATGCATGAAAAGAAGCAAGCGATACCCACAAGTTTGAACACAAACAACAAAATATCTTTCTGTTTTTATCAGTTATCATTTATTGATCTGTCACGATAAGGATACTGGACAAAAAAAACTGAAATGGGCTTTTTCAGGCATTACCATGGAGAGTTTGAATTAGCACCAAGGATATATAGGGTAAATGTGATCTGTTGTTCATGAGTGTTTGATTTGTAGGCGAGTGCGTTCTGTACTCTAATTCAACCGAATACTGTCATGAAAATGTAGGTTTTCCATTTTGTGTGCACATTGAAAGGGCTCTTTGAATTGTTTGTGAGTAAAAAAGTGTGTTCTAGTCCTTTTGTTGATGAACCGTCATATAAAAGGACCAATGCACATAACAGGCACATTGTACTATTCGTAGCAATTACAGTACTGATGAACTGAAGATATGCATTATTTTGTAAACACTTTTAAAAGTTGTGTTAAACTAAAGATGAAAAGAACTTACTTTTACCTCATGTCAGGGATTCCTGAAAAAAAAAGAAAAATAATGATTTGGTTCAGTCTATACCAATGGTATTTAAATATTAGCACATAGCTGTTTGTCTTTGCACAAGTAACTGTATAGTGCTATCGTTTCTCCTTTTTCTAAACAGATTTGTGTATTAAGGTGAGACAATTTTGTACTTTTTGTGACTGTGTGTATGGTTTAGTGGAATCTATATTTGTCATTTACACCTCACCTTACAATGCTGGGAATGAAAGAGTATTAAAAAATATTTTCAAGGTGCACTGTTCCTCTGTTCATGGGTAGGGAAAAAAAAATAAAATGGTAAAGTACCAGTTTACAGAGAAACACATATTGATTTGAACATTTCTATTAGTTTTCTTCATATTGTTATGATTATAATTACTATAACAACTATTAATGTTCTGAAAGCTGTATTTAAATAGAAGATAATGTAAAATATGTACAAAAGTATGGAAAGACCCATGGTAATGTTCTCTACTTGAAAGTCTTGATATTTGCTCCTTAATGTTTTTATTCAGTAAACATAATTTCTCTTAGTAGCAAATGCTTTACTATAACCCTCTAGGTTTTGTATCAATACATTTTTTTGTATTTTTCATTTTATTTTGGCCTTGACTTTATTTGAATCAATACTGATATTTTATTTTCTATTGATCATCATTGAATAAACTTATGCTGAATTACTGTTCTCATTTATTTGTATTCTGCACTTTTTAGAAAGCAAATAGACACTGGACACTGTTTTCACGAGCTTGTACTGAAACCATTATAGATGAGATCTTCATATATTAAAACAACATCTCAGTTGAAAAAACACAAACATTCAAGCACTGTGGTCATTGTAGATCGTCGATGTCTGTAGCAGGTGACAAAAAGGATGTATAAACTGAATTATACATATTTCACACATGTTAATGGATGGTTGTAGGTATGTGTACACTTCAGGCGGGAGATACTTTGTTGGTTGTAGTCTCTACAGTCGTTGCTGTTTCTGAAGTGTCATCGTCCTCCCCGGGCTCTTTCCCACACAGCAGGAAGGCCACAGCGTATTTATGGAACTATAGAAAACAGAATGAAACAGAATATAATAAGTTCAGCCCGAACAAGCTGTAATTTTCTTCTTTTTTTCCATGCGTCAATAAACATAATAATAAAATTAATACACTGAAACAAGTTTATATTAGGGAGAGCTTTAGAAAACTTGTTTTGTGCATGTGAAATGTACAAAAATCACAGTTGTGTGCAACGGTTACTGTTTCTTGAAGCACAGTGCATTGGGAAATTCTTCAGACCCTTTACATTTTTTTCACATTTTGTCATATTGTAGCCTTATAAATAAATAAATAAATAGATAAATAAAATAAAGGACAAACTGAAATATCACATTGACATAAGTGTTCAGACTCTTTGCTATGGCACTTGAAATGTAGCTCAGGTGTCTCCCATTTCTCTTGATCATCTCTGAGATGTTGCTAGATCTTGATTGAGCGCACCTGTGGTCAATTCAGCTGATTGGCCATGCTTTGGAGAGGCACACACCTGTCTATATAAGGTCATGAGGAGGAAGGAAATGGCTGCAGAACTCAGACAGGAAAGTTTTCTCTCGGCTTTTCAGAACTTCCACAGTTCACTTTAATTGCCATTTCTTAATGTTGTTTCAGACAGTGGATATTTCAAAGCACTTAGATTTATCATCAGCTGACAATTCCTAATAACAGTTCTTGACTTGCCTTATGAGTCCCAACAAGTTAATGAAGTTCTGAGTGTTTTATAAGTAGAAGAGAGCCCAAACTTTTGCACATGCTGTTTATATATTTATTTTTCTCCTATTTTTTTTCTAATTAATGAAATAAAAAGTCACAGTGAATTAACATTTGGAGAATTTTGATGTGTGTTTGCTGCATGGGTTGCACTTAAAAAACATGTAATTTGCCCAGGTGCGTCCAAACTTTTGCACACAGCTGTATATATAAGTAGTTATGATTTTAGACCAAATCTCAGAAGAGTTCCCTGCGACATTAACACTAATTCCTGTGCTGTACTGAAAGATATTCAGTAAAGCACCTGTACTGAATGTCTTTTCTAAGAAAAGGTACTATACTGTCTTTAAATAACACTAGATGGTGCTGATGCCCTGAAAGAGCAAAAATATCTCATTCATAAGTTTTTCCCCTACAATTTATCATGCACTTTATCATATCTGGATGGTCTCCATTATAAAAATAACCCGGATGGTTTTGCAGTACCTGTTTGTTGAGGTAGATGTAGATGATGGGATTGTACACAGTGCTGCTCTTGGCCAGGTAGACGGGCACTGTGCCCACCAGTGGGTGAATCTCCACATCAGGGTTGTAGACCACCAGCATGGCCAGGGAGGCATAAGGCAGCCAACTGATCAGAAATGTCAGGACCATCAGAATCACCATAAGTGCCACCTTCATCTCTCCCTTAGCTACTGCACCGCCTTCCACACAAGCCATCTTTGATACCTGTAGCACAGAATGAAAACAGAATACAACAATGTAAAAAATAGTCTGTTACAAGTCAGTTTTGTAAATTATTGGATAATTTGAGCTCTGTGCCAAAGAGCCAAGTGTATAAATGCTCACCTGGTGTAATGTCCACATTAGTTTTGTGTAGGATGCCAGGATAATGGCAAAAGGAACTGCAAAACATACTGCAAAATAAGCCATGATGTAGGAGACATTTAGAGGGTCTCGGTTGTGCCAGTCTGGTGCACAGGACGTCCCGACCCCCTCCAGCTCATACCTGCCCCAGCCAAACAGGGGAGGTAAGTTCCATGTGAGGGACCACAGCCAGGACACAGCGATACCTCCGACCGCATGCTTCTTTTGGAAGGTTATTTGCCCCAAGGGCTTACACACAACAAACATCCTCTCCACTGCGATCAGAGCAACTGTGCACAGGGATGTGATGCCTGCGGAAATGAATGAATATTGTACTATGAGAAGATTATGCAAGCACAATGATTAAAGGGTTATTTCTCTTTTTTACTAAAAACTAAAAACACATTTTCTGTGAACATTAAATGATCAGTCACGTCTTATTTTACACAAGGAAGTGTGCACATTACATCATAACTCTGTATTCGAAGAACTACTCAACCTAAGCTGTTCTGCTCTTTTCACTCACCAAACAAGGACACCGCAAAGCCCTCCATCACACAACCCGTTCTTCCCAGGGAGAAGTACCCCTGGGCGTTGTTGATGACAGACAGCACCCCTCCGGTCATGGCTGTGCCCAGGTCAGCCACAGCCATGTTCACCAGAGCGTAGTTGAGAGGCTGCCTCAGCTGCTTGTGCATGAGGGACACAATAATCACTGTAGCATTGAGTATGATGGCTGGACCAGTGAAAACAGCCATAATGATGGAGAGAATAATGAAGCCAGTGCGTGAGAGAGGGGGCTCCCCTTGTGGGTGCATGTAGGAAGAAGCATTTGACAAAAACACAGCTGATTCCATGGATGCAAAAACTTTAAAAACAAAAAAAAAAGTGGTCAGATAGTTTCTTCTTCACCTGGAGCTTCTGGGTTGTTCAATATCTCAACACTCCAGTGTGACAGCTCGAGTGTGAGATTAGATGCCTACAGTCTAAGAAGATCTCTGGATCTGGACTTACCAAAGAGTAATTCCTGCAAATGATGATCCTTGATCCCTCACCTTTTGCTTGATTGTAAAGGCACTTAAAGAGGATGGCTACCCAGTGCTCTTCACTGGGATCAGTCCACTGAGCAAGTGCAAAAAAACCCCAATAAACCCTCCTGACCACTCCTACCTCACAGGGGGGGTAAAGAAGCTGCTATTTTAGCTCTCTGATAAATGTTCAGAGGAAGTGTGTCATAACACATGGCATCTACTGTAAAGATTGATGGGGGCCGATTATGTGTTTTTGGTCTTTTTTCTCACCGTCTGTCTTTCTGTCACTGTCTCTTTTCTTCCCTTATACAACCCAGGGGTCAGTGAAAGTTTAATCACTATCAGTACTGAGTCAAGTCAGTTTATTTATAGGGCACATGTAAGACCACAGATGTTGTAATGACAACACAGAAGAATTAAGTGATATATTCTGGTATTACCTTCCAGTTGCACTGTTCTGGACCAAAGTCCGACTAAAAGAATGCAACAGCAGAGTGTACTGTAAACCCAAAGGTGGTGAGCAAGATCATCCTCCTTGGAAAAACGTTTATTTACAACACAAAGATGGAGGACGAGTTACAAGTTGAATGTTTTGAACCTGTTATAATACATCGTTGTACAGTGAAAATATGAATTGCATAAACAAATAACAAGTATAAGATGTATGCAGCTGAACTGGAAAAACTTTAGTGGACACTTTTTCTTTTCTATATCATTACTGAAGCAGCACATTTCACTTATTTAGCTTTAGCTGTAGGATGAAAGTAGTTGGAGGAGCAAAAGAAATTTTTAAAACAATGAATGAAACAAAGAAAAGAAGGATTTTTTTTAAAGCATGTAAAACTGTTTCCTTGCAATGTTGCAGTCAAGATTTTTTTTTCTTTTTTTGGCATTATAGTTTATTTCTTTGTCAGATTTTAAGTGGCACCTGGTTTTTTATATGTATGGATGTTTAAGTGTGTGTGGAAGATTTACTGCATCTGAAAACCATCTTCACCGAATCCAATCTGATTTTGGGGCTAAAATTAGTCCTCCTACATCTACATACCTTATCGTAGTTGATGATGATGATTTGGTTTGGGAGCAAACCAGGGATTAAAATGATGAAAACATACATCAAACCCAGAACACAGCTTGTAAATCTAAACATAGATCATACAGCTCACCAACAAATAATGTCTTAATCGGACATTTGCTAAACAGTGTAAACAAGTACATGTCAAATCAATACCCCGGATAGTCTCTGCAAGAGAACGAACAAGTTGTGAACAAACTTGTTGACGGTTTTTCCTCTCTATATATGTCTTAGAGTTGATGGTGTTTTCTGTGGTTCAGCTTTAGACAAATTGTCCCTGCAGCGAGATCTTAACCCCACTGGTATTCCCAAAATGGTTAAGTAGCCTAACTGGTTAAGCTTTTATTTATGTACACAATGCAATGTGTTGTCTGGACTCACAATCACTCTGGTGTTCTATAAATAAGTCTCAAATAAGCATGTTATCAAACACTAAGTCAGACGTGAGTTACACTCATAACAACAACCTAAACTCAGAAAAACAACAGTAAGGGATGTAAAGGTCGGAGTGACTCGTGTATGGGGATGATGTTTGAAGGTTTGGATCAAATCGGGATTGATAACTAACTACAGAGTATATTATTACTGCATTGTTAATTCCTATGTCACATATTATCATTTTTGAATCTTGATAACAGTGATATAAAGATATAAAGGCAGAAGGCTGAAGCTTTATAGACACTTGACTGTACCTGAATAAGACAACAACAACAACAACAACAACAACATATGGTACAATGAGGTGTGAAGTAATCTTTCCACCATCACAGTTCGCTCTCTCATGTGAGCCTATATATAAGTTGACTGTTGGAGATGGTTTGAATTGAATTATCCTCGGCTGCTGAGGGCATGAGGCGAGGTTAAGCCCCGGGGCTTAACGTGAGAGCATGACAACAGGTGTCCGATGTTTAACCTTCTAAGAGGTTTATGTCCAATCAAGTCAAGACAGAGATTACAATTTTGTTTGGGTTGAGTGTTCAACTGATTATAAATCTTTATGTCTAGAACAACCCTGGCATCATAGACTGGTTCTAGGGATGAAGAATCATCATCATCATCTCTCTGGTGGGGAAGGAGCCAGAGTTGGTCGTAGTTGTCGTGAAGCTGAAGAAGGAGGCTTTTTGGGCATGGCTTGCCCAGAGGTCTCCTGAAGCAGCAGATGTGTACAGGAGGGCCAGAAGAGACGCGGTCACAGTGGCTGCAGACATACCTTTTCAGTGTCCCATGTAGGTTGGGGGGGGGATGATGTCATTTGGCGCATAGAGAGGTCAGGGAAGGGCTGGGAGCTGAAACAGCCGCCAACATTTATTGTTTCTTGAACTTACGAAACAGCAGTTCAGGAGGATTTTACCGGTAGCCACATTATCCGCAGAGGTGTCCTCTTCTCCATAACAAACGTCCCAGGGGGTTAAACCCGACAGAAACAAAGAATAAATCAGTTTCACCTTAAAAACCAGTGATTCACCAGCGCTCTTCCACAAACACAGGACGTCTCGGGCGGAGCTAGCTAACATTTGCCTGACTTTTTTCTCTGATAACTTAAGAGCCAGACGTCCGATGACTACAATCATTCATCCAGTTAAAATATATAGTTGATGACCAAGGTGTAAAAAGTTATCTTAAAAATGTGGCTTAAAACTGAATAAAAATCAATTTTGAGCTTCTGGCAGGCAACCACAAGGCATCTGTAGGGGGATATGACGTCATTGACGGGCGACCAAATGACATGCAGCTTAAAATTTTTTGGAGATTAAAATCACGAATTTCTCATTTTGAGAATTGCTGGAAACATTTGGGATAATGTAAGTACACAACTCTATACAACTATATACTCTATATAACATAAGTCTACTCATATTTAGACATTTTAATGTGGAAAAGTTTTATATGATGTCTTAAACTATGAAACTAATTCTAGTAGTTGAAATAAACAACCTAACCCAAAGTTGACTGACTAGCTTTTTCCAGGGCTGTCAGCGATTGAATCCTAAAGGAGTTTAAATCGAAAAAAAAATTTAGGATACTTTAGGATACTATGACCTGGACAAATGAGAATATGCACAAGCCTCAGCGACTGAAAGCTTTTTCCAGAACTTTTCAGTTTTTTTTTTCTGGTTGAAACCCCTGCAAAAAGCTAGTAAGTGTACTACCGTGGATTTGAAATGTTCTGTCAAAATACTA